AGGGACTTTTTTATGAATTAAAATTGGATGGTGGTAGGGTCACCCTACCCAAACTTTGGACCTCAATTACAAAAGTTCCGTAACTTTACCCAACTGGGTCTTTGGGTCCAGGCAGCCATAGGCAATTGCCTATCATTTGTACCTAGCGTGGACAAAAGCTTTGCCGTAGGAAATTTTTTATGAATTAAAGAAGGGAGGGGGTTCGGTCACCCTATCCCAACTTTGGACCTCAATAATAAAAGTTCCGTAACTTTAACCACCTAGGTCTTTGGGTTCAGGCAACCTTAGGCAATTGCCTATCATTAGTACCTAGTGTGGACAAAAGCTTTGCCGTAGGGACTTTTTTATGAATTAAAGAAGGGAGGGGGTTGGGTCACCAAACCCCAACTTTGGACCTCAATTAAAAAAGTTCCGTAACTTTACCCACCTGGGTCTTTGGGTCCAGGCAACCTTAGGCAATTGCCTATCATTTGTACTTAGTGCGAACAAAAGTTTTGCCGTAGGGACTTCTTTATGAATTAAAAAAGGGAGGGGGTTGGGTCACCCTACCCCAACTTTGGACCTCAATTGAAAAAGTTCCGTAACTTTACCCACCTGGGTCTTTGGGTCCAGGCAACCTTAGGGAATTGTTTATCATTTGTACCTAGTGTGGACAAAAGCTTTGCCGTAGGGACTTTTTTATGAATTAAAATTAGGTGGTGGTAGGGTCACCCTATCCAAACTTTGGACCTCAATTAAAAAAGTTCCGTAACTTTACCCACCTGGGTCTTTGGGTCCAGGAAACCTTAGGCAATTGCCTATCATTTGCACCTAGTGTGGACAAAAGCTTTGCCGTAGGGACTTTTTTATGAATTAAAATTGGGTGGTGGTAGGGTCACCCTACCCAAACTTTGGACCTCAATTTAAAAAGTTCCGTAACTTTACCCACCTGGGTCTTTGGGTCCAGGCAACCTTAGGCAATTGCCTATCATTTGTACTTAGTGCGAACAAAAGTTTTGCCGTAGGGAGTTCTTTATGAATTAAAAAAGGGAGGGGGTTGGGTCACCCTACCCCAACTTTGGACCTCAATTGAAAAAGTTCCGTAACTTTACCCACCTGGGTCTTTGGGTCCAGGCAACCTTAGGGAATTGTTTATCATTTGTACCTAGTGTGGACAAAAGCTTTGCCGTAGGGACTTTTTTTATGAATTAAAATTAGGTGGTGGTAGGGTCACCCTATCCCAACTTTGGACCTCAATTAAAAAAGTTCCGTAACTTTACCCACCTGGGTCTTTGGGTCCAGGAAACCTTAGGCAATTGCCTTTCATTTGTACCTAGTGTGGACAAAAGCTTTGCCGTAGGGACTTTTTTATGAATTAAAATTGGGTGGTGGTAGGGTCACCCTACCCAAACTTTGGACCTCAATTTAAAAAGTTCCGTAACTTTACCCACCTGGGTCTTTGGGTCCAGGCAACCTTAGGCAATTGCCTATCATTTGTACTTAGTGCGAACAAAAGTTTTGCCGTAGGGACTTTTTTATGAATTAAAATTGGGTGGTGGTAGGGTCACCCTACCCAAACTTTGGACCTCAATTAAAAAAGTTCCGTAACTTTACCCACCTGGGTCTTTGGGTCCAGGCAACCTTAGGCAATTGCCTATCATTTGTACTTAGTGCGAACAAAAGTTTTGCCGTAGGGACTTCTTTATGAATTAAAAAAGGGAGGGGGTTGGGTCACCCTACCCCAACTTTGGACCTCAATTGAAAAAGTTCCGTAACTTTACCCACCTGGGTCTTTGGGTCCAGGCAACCTTAGGGAATTGTTTATCATTTGTACCTAGTGTGGACAAAAGCTTTGCCGTAGGGACTTTTTTATGAATTAAAATTAGGTGGTGGTAGGGTCACCCTATCCAAACTTTGGACCTCAATTAAAAAAGTTCCGTAACTTTACCCACCTGGGTCTTTGGGTCCAGGAAACCTTAGGCAATTGCCTATCATTTGCACCTAGTGTGGACAAAAGCTTTGCCGTAGGGACTTTTTTATGAATTAAAATTGGGTGGTGGTAGGGTCACCCTACCCAAACTTTGGACCTCAATTTAAAAAGTTCCGTAACTTTACCCACCTGGGTCTTTGGGTCCAGGCAACCTTAGGCAATTGCCTATCATTTGTACTTAGTGCGAACAAAAGTTTTGCCGTAGGGAGTTCTTTATGAATTAAAAAAGGGAGGGGGTTGGGTCACCCTACCCCAACTTTGGACCTCAATTGAAAAAGTTCCGTAACTTTACCCACCTGGGTCTTTGGGTCCAGGCAACCTTAGGGAATTGTTTATCATTTGTACCTAGTGTGGACAAAAGCTTTGCCGTAGGGACTTTTTTTATGAATTAAAATTAGGTGGTGGTAGGGTCACCCTATCCCAACTTTGGACCTCAATTAAAAAAGTTCCGTAACTTTACCCACCTGGGTCTTTGGGTCCAGGAAACCTTAGGCAATTGCCTTTCATTTGTACCTAGTGTGGACAAAAGCTTTGCCGTAGGGACTTTTTTATGAATTAAAATTGGGTGGTGGTAGGGTCACCCTACCCAAACTTTGGACCTCAATTTAAAAAGTTCCGTAACTTTACCCACCTGGGTCTTTGGGTCCAGGCAACCTTAGGCAATTGCCTATCATTTGTACTTAGTGCGAACAAAAGTTTTGCCGTAGGGACTTTTTTATGAATTAAAATTGGGTGGTGGTAGGGTCACCCTACCCAAACTTTGGACCTCAATTAAAAAAGTTCCGTAACTTTACCCACCTGGGTCTTTGGGTCCAGGCAACCTTAGGTAATTGCCTATCATTTGTGCCTAGTGTGGACAAAAGCTTTGCCGTATGGGGCTTCTTTATGAATTAAAATTGGGTGGTGGTAGGATCACCCTACCCCACCTTTGGACCTCAATTTCAAAAGTTCCGTAACTTTACCCACCTGGGTCTTTGGGTTCAGGCATTTTTAGTCAATTGCCTATCATTTGTACGTAGCGTGGAGAAAAGCTTTGCCGTAGGAAATTTTTTATGAATTAAAGAAGGGAGGGGGTTGGGTCACCATATCCCAATTTTGGACCTCAATTAAAAAAGTTCCGTAACTTTACCCACCTGGGTCTTTGGGTCCAGGCAACCTTAGGCAATTGTCTATCATTTGTGCCTAGTGTGGACAAAAGCTTTGCCGTATGGGGCTTCTTTATGAATTAAAATTGGGTGGTGGTAGGATCCCCCTCCCCCAACTTTGGACCTCAATTACAAAAGTTCCGTAACTTTACCCACCTGGGTCTTTGGGTTCAGTCATTTTTAGTCAATTGCCTATCATTTGTACGTAGCGTGGACAAAAGCTTTGCCGTAGGAAATTTTTTATGAATTAAAGAAGGGAGGGGGTTGGGTCACCATATCCCAATTTTGGACCTCAATTAAAAAAGTTCCGTAACTTTACCCACCTGGGTCTTTGGGTCCAGGCAACCTTAGGCAATTGCCTATCATTTGTACCTAGTGTGGACAAAAGCTTTGCCGTAGGGACTTTTTTATGAATTAAAATTGGGTGGTGGTAGGGTCACCTACCCCAACTTTGGACCAAAATCTTTATGTCAATTCGTTTCTCGTTCTATTTGGGTGCCACTCTTACACTTATCACTCTTCCTATCGAAATATAGTAAATACATTTCCAGAGTGACGACATACTTTTGAATAATTAGAAAAATGACCTAGTTCTTTGACAAAAGAAGAAAACTGCATATAATGCTTTTATTTCTAAAGAAAATCTAACAAAAAATACTGGACGTTCCAAAATCAGTCGATTTATTTTTCTTTTCTTTTCAAACGCATATGTAAAGTAGAAGATTTATTTGTATCGTTACATGTACACTAGTTTAGTGTGAACTATTGTTATTAATTGTTTCATTATTATAAAAACAACAAACCCATCTCTAATCAGAGAGCACTAAAAAGAGAAAGGATTACCTAATAGGAATTTTAGATGTCCGGTTAAAAAAAAGTTGTATTAGATACACGAATAACTAATTAACTTTGTCTATGTTAAAATGGAATTGCATTTCGTTCTCCTACTGGAAATTATTGTCATTAGAATTAAAAGGACGTTTTGTGTTATTGCAAGTCATCGGTTTTTAGGCGTGATCATGTTGGCGCGTTTTCTTATTGTTCGCTGGCTTATTGTTCGCTAGCTTGATGCATCTTATTGTTCGCTGGCTTAGTGTTCGCTAGCTTGAGTCTGATCTCTCGACAAGTACAATCGATATTTATAAATTGTAAAACAATACTACATAAAATGAGAGCCATTCTATACAGAATTATAAGAGACTATTAAAATTATATATATATTACTTTAACAATATGAAATTCCATCGTCTTCTTAAAATCAAATAACATGTTTTGGCACACACATGAATCATATTTATATCTGAGAATAAAACCACTACTAGTAATTTTTTTGTTGTCATTTAAAGTATTAGAATGTTCATTAAAAATTTCAGCAACATAATATAAATGGTTTCTAAAATCGTCATTACATGGGGAGCAGTTTAATTTTAATGTCATGTGAAACACAATAGTCTTTGATTTTATGGTCTTTCTCTCTACGCCCTTCCTCACCACTTGAAGCCAAATTCATCCGCTGCTTCTCTCGATATTTAAGACCCTTCGAGTGATCAATTGTCACTGATTTTTCGGGGTTTTTTTGTTGTTGTTAAATATATCAATAATGCAAAGTTAAATATTGGTTGGGCATAATGATGTCTCTAGATGTCTTTTTGGTATTTTTGTTGTTGGGTTGCTGTCTCATTTAAGTTTTCCCTTTTCGATAGTATTATGCTTACCTCGTTTCATAAAGTGCGTAAAGAGAGTGGACATCGTAGATTAAAAAAAATATCCAGTTTCATTGAATTGTGTAAAGGTACATATTTTTAGGGGGGAAAATCATTAAACATGTGTTGCGACATTTGGTGACCACGTTTTCAATATCAAAGCTTTTTTATCTTGTAATGCAGGTAATTAATGAGTCCTGGTTAAGATGGATGATATTTTCAAGAAGAAATCAAACGATATATTTTCAAAAAGTTTCATCGACGTATTTGAGAACAAATCAGACAACGATATACTAGCACGTAAAAGTGTCGGCATTGATGTCTTTGAGACGAGAGATGATATCTTTGAAAACCCAGGCTATCAGGCTAACATTTTCCCCGGAGATAAAGAGACAGAACATCATGAACCAACAATAAAGGATAAACCACTCCAGGTACATGTACTTATTAGATTTGTTTGTTTATAAACCACTCCAGATACATGTACTTATTAGATTTGTTTGTTTATAAACCACTCCAGGTACATGTACTTATTAGATTTGTTTAGTTGTGTTGGGTTGCTATCTTATCTTATGTAAGGCAGGATCTACTTGCCCTTCCGAGGCACCTGAGATCAACTCGAGTTTTAATGGGATTCGTGTTGCTCGGTATTTAGTCTTGTATCTTATCCTATGTAAGGCAGGCTCTACTTGCCCTTCCGAGGCACCTGAGATCAACTCGAGTTTTAATGGGATTCGTGTTGCTCGGTATTTAGTCTTCTATCTAATCCTATGTAAGACAGGATCTACTTGCCTTTCCGAGGTACCTGAGATCAACTCGATTTTTAATGTGATTCGTGTTGCTCGGTATTTAGTCTTCTATCTTATCCTATGTAAGACCGGATCTACTTGCCCTTCCGAGGCACATGAGATCAACTCGAGTTTTAATGGGATTCGTGTTTAGATATTTTACCTTAAATCACAACGACAGGCTTTACCCGACAATGTGTCGGTTTTAACTACTGCGTGAAAATTCTGAGGACGGTACGGGGGCAAATACACTTCGTCCGTCGTTCATCAAGAAAGAAAGAAAATACTAGTGATTGTTTTTGAAACCATTTAACTCGACTTTTAGGATTAAACACTGGCTATCATTAGTTTCAAATTAAGAATCTAATTGGATTGTATAAGTGTTTCTGTATTCTAAACATTTTATAAAAAATCATTGTGTCTTTGTTTACCGGCATGCATAAGCTATTTTTACACGAATTTCAAGGACATAGAAAGGTTGCCTGCATGGGTGTCATTCACTGTTCAGCAATTACGCTGAAAGGACTACGTACAATGAATTTCCGTCATGATTATTCTTCATATTTTGAAAACATTTTTTTTAGCTCTTTGCATCATCAATATTTGTTTTTTTTTATCTGCCGAAGGGTAAGCATTACAAAGGGTGCAAGCAAAATACAGAAATTAAAAAGAGAGACAACGCCATTTTTCAAAAGGCAAACAGAAGAAACATAAAAAAGATTCTGCGACTGCGCACAGGAGTATTTGCGTAACTTGCCCAACTGACGTCAAACTATAATCAAGAACTGCTGTTTCAGACAATTTATTTTGTGACGTCGAATCGTATGGTCTTTGATGTCCTTATACCTGCATATTGTCTGTATTTCTTAAGTGCTGTCCCTTTGGAAGATGATTTTCTTTACTTATAATACAACAAAAGGATAACAAAGTAAATTTATCAGGTCATTTTTGTCTTGTTATCATATCCCGTTATCCTGCTCTTAAAAAATTTAAATATATAAATGTATTCATTCTTACAGGCTGCCGATGTACTATGCCATGGAAAATTCCGAAAGAACAGGTGCCATGCCAAAGTCATACAGAGGACGCTTGAACTTTATATGAAAGGAGACAACAACAACATGAAAAAGAAACCAACTGCAGTTAAACCTAAGAGAGTAACAATTAAGGATGATTTGGATTGGTAGGGATTTAATCAAGGCTCGTTGAAACAGTTACCTATTAGTGTTAACTGACACCCAAGTTCAATTAGGCTGCATCCAAATCTGGACATTGAAAAAGTGGAAACAGGAAACAAATTAAGCGGACATTTATCTTTGCAGTCGAGATAATACTCAGCCATTTTTGTCAAAGGTCGATAAAGTGCTATGTGTTTCAGATTACTCCGCTCGGTGAAAGCAAAAATAATTCAAAAAGGAACGAACGTAACTTGTAAATACAGAAAAGGCGTTTCATTATTTTTTGCTGTTTTCTGATTTCAAATTAACAAGCAAACGGAGTCAGTGCTATCCATAACTCTTGATGCCACGCTCCCATGTTTACCAAGAGCTGCCCACTACTCTTTGAAATGAACCTGTGGGGTATCCTGGTAAATATATGACTTTGGGAATATATTCAGACTAAGAACATAGCTATATCGTCCATGCTAATGGTTGAACTTTTTAAGGTTACAATCTGTGTTTCGATGCAATTGTTTATTTATCATTTAAAATCAGAATAAAGAATAAAGAATGAAAAATAAATTATCAACTTCAATGTTCATGTTTCAATGTTCTTCAAGTAAAATACATTTTAGTCACTGATCATGCATAAATAGCAACATTTAAATCTAAAATAATCTCAAATAAAGTTTTAACAATCACGAAGCTCATTCATATACTAACTATGTCTATAAACATATAATTATAAGTTATCAGATATGATGTAATTGAAGATCTTTAAAATGTTTAGTCTGCTTAACAACCGGAACGGTATAATTTGCTATAGAAGGGAAGATCTCAAAGTGTTTAAAATGTATAATTCCACGTTTAAACGTTATGTTTAGTATTTGTTTTAAACTTGGACAGTTGATAGAAATACTACATCGATCTGAATTATAAAAGTCACTTGTCATCAAAACTGGAAAAATTCCAAAACGAAACCAATACAGTGAAAGTTAAAATGGAAATTTTCTTTAAAATAACTTAGTTAATTCGGAAAAGCAATCTTCAATTTTGTTACCATTCTATTTTTTAATATACATGTATCTATTTTTGTAAGAGTTTTGTAGAGAATCCATTTTTGCACGAAAATTTAATTTTGAATTCAATGGTTTCATATTTTGAGGAATTTTGTGTTGATGGCAGATCTTTGATAGACTGTGTTTTTAATTTATTCACACAGTTGAAGTAACGGGGCGGGTTATAGCTTGACATATTGTATATGTTTAATATTGGTGAAGACCTATGTTGACCCCTGGGCGTCATTTGGGGTTTCTGTGTCGTTAGGTTATTGTCTAATTGATATGAACCCACGTCTCCTTTATTCTAGCAGTGTATCACCGGTAAAAATTAATCCTGAGTTATTATAAAACTTTGCTTTCTGCTAATGTTTGTTGCACTAGAAGTGTTTCACTTATGAATGCATGACAAACGTGACAATAAAATACGTTATCTTTATATATTTTACACATTATTTTCATTTTTAGTCATGAATCAAGGCATGATAATATAATTAATAATTTGTTTGTTGGTTTGTTTATCTTACTTATACATACATCTTTCGGGTGGGGGTTATTTGGCTTATTTTGTTTCATGGAGGATTTTTGATTTTTGATTTTTGTTTTGCATTTGGATTTTTCAGGGGGGAGTGCAGGTGTGGGGGATGACTTGCAATGACTGTGTTGACTGTGTTGTCCATTCAGATATCTGTTTCAAAATATATGCAATAGGTTTTACGACACTTAACCAAATGTATACATTCAACATTGATTTTGAAACTTTACACTACTATAAATTATTCATCAAATTTTTCCTATAGTTTTATTGACATTAAAACTCTTAAAATTTTATGATTTAATACATTTCAAACCTTACTGATGAAATATAGTGATTAATTGATATTCCTGGTTTAAAATCGGGTGCACTTAAAATCCACCATGGGATTTTTCCCTTTAAATCTTTAATTTAAAATTTAAAATTCACATAATTTAGCCTTGGAGTAAACGGTACCTACGTCAATTTACTAGTGTTTTACGATCTATTACTGTATATGTATATATAACTTGTGTTTTAATGTTTATATAGAAACTATAGGATCAGGTGACGTCTGAATTTTTCAGTTTTTTACCTGATAAAAAGCGTGACAGGAGATATCTGTTTTATTTTGAAGAGAAGTTAAAAAAAACTGTATATTACTGGAAACTGATAGAAAGGAAGACATTCAATATCAGAGGATTGTGATCTGACAATTTATAATTCAAAACATGATGATTTATAGCAATGGATATCTATCTTGAAGACAATATAGTTTAAGGAAAAATAGGAATTGTATTAAGTTGACATTGCGAGAGCAACATTTTTGACAATTCACAGTAATATATATAGTTGTAAAAGATACAGTCAAAGGCACTCACGAAAGTTAACTGTTGCGAAGTGTTAGGTGATTTTCAGTGTAATATATTTGTTGTACAGTAATAGTAAAAGGGATTTTTAAAATAACTGTACTGTCGTGTTACTGAACTCGTTCAGAATTTCATTATAGAATGGACTTCAAGACTGAAAAGAGTATAACTTGTAAGTGTGAATATTAAAAACATTTGATTGATGAAATGGGTGTATTTGATTAACGTCCAGTGGCAAATACTTCATCAACAATAAAGCTCAATGGTATAACGCATTGTCTCCCTCTCTGAAGTGCTTTGAATAAATTTCTATTCACTTTAGCAATTTGAAAATAAGCGGACGTTCTTCTGTTTTCTGACACTAAACATTACAACGGAAATTTAAAGAGGTATTCATAAATTTTAACTTTTAAAATTGGAATTTAAAATGTCTTCTCTTTAGCCGGATATCAAGGTGTTTGTGTAGTTTTTTGTACACAATGGTTATAAACATATCCAACCTAGATATGCAGAATTTCACGAAAAATGCTTGCATCAATTAAGATATTTTTGTTCCTGTGGGCATCGTTCCTTAATTTCACGCGTTTTACATGTTTAGCCGTAGGATGTTTTGTCCTGGAAGCTTAAAAGGGGAAAATGATATTCTACTCAAACTTAGACTCGACTGACCAATTGTTCATGCTTACATCATAATAATGAATGGATAACGGTGATTAAATTATCAAAATTTCTGAAGTAAAAGGGCATAACACTATAATAAAGCATCTGCATGTTATAATTAACCATCTCTAATTGGTATGAAAGCTTTAGCAATGACAAATCTGAAAGTCAAGTTAGGTTAAAACTTTCTCCGTTGTAAAAAAAAACCTTTTTTAACGGAGAAAGTTTTAACATAATTTGACTTTCCAATTTGTCATTGCTATAGCTTTCGTACCTCTCTAGCTTTTTTCAACGGGGAAAGTTTTAACCTAATTTGGCTTTCCAATTTGTCATTGCTACAGCTTTCATACCAATTCCCTATTTGAGCAATTCTTCCTCCCCTATTATCCCTTTTAAGCTTCCAGCTTATATATAGACACTAAAGAGGCTATGTAGCTCACTTCTATCTTCAACAAAGGCCACTTTTTGGTAAAAATCATCACGAAAGGGCGAAAACTCTATAAATAGTTACTTAGGAACTGACTATTAAAATAAAATTTCTGACCGTGTCAGATTTTCTCTATGTATATCTGTTTCAAGATAATAGACAAAAATTGCAGTTTACCCCTATCTTCTATTTCTAGCAATGTCGGACATGTTGGTTTGCAGGCAGGTCATCGGACACATTCTTTAAACAATATGTCCAATAAGAATTGTGGCCAAGTTTGGTTAAATTTATACTCTTAACTCTTAACCCTTGTCAATTTCAAGGTAAAAATTCCAAGTTGTTTAGTGTGTATATTTTCGTATATAATCTAATTTTAAATTTCATTTTTAAGGAGTATATCAGGAAAAAACGTTGATGACGTCACGTTCACATGACAAAATTATGTATATGAGCTGATAGACAAAAACTTTTAGCCAATCAGACGACGTATTACATCCAAAATTAAATTATTTGCAAATGTATTATGAATATTTTCAGCTGGTAAAACCTATGTTCCATCAAAAGTTAACATCAGTAGTAAAAATGGTCTCTATGAAGTACAGACATATAACCCAACCATTGATCCGTTCGAAAAGAAGAAAACTAATACACTTAGTGAGCCTACCGATCCGTTTAAGCAAAAGATAGGGTATTCCCCTACACGGACGACAGACGACATTGCAAAACGGAAGATTGAGGATTACCAGGGCCACAAATACGATACTTATTATGATTATGGATTTCCAAATGATAAAGATAAGGATAAGAGAAAACAGGAACCAAAGGAGCCCAAACCCAAGTCCACCCCAAAAGTGGACCGGAAACCAAAACATGTTGAAAGAGCGGTACGTATATGGCAGTAACTTACGCAACAGGGTTCCGGTTTGAATTGACTAAATGGATGGAAAGAAATAAGTCAGTTTTCAATCTTGAATACTATATAGTTTTTAAATATCATTTTTGTTCGGGTTGGATTAAGTCCGTAATCAATTCTCCTTCTGCATTTTTCAACTTAGATCCCTGAAGATTTACAGTAAGAGCTTCATAGATAAAAAACCGACGTTTTGAAACAATTTTTAAAATTCAGCAATTAATTTCATATGTTTGGTTGATAAGATTACTAGTATTTATAATGGTTTAATGCCACATAAATATACACTTGCGTCCGCCATGCAGAACATCACAATAAATGCGGAGGATACGGTACCAAAGGGGTATTCAAACTCGAAGTCGAAGACAACACCATGGTAAAAAACGAAAAAAAACGACCAAAGACAAAATACAAAATACATAGTAAAACCAAAGACTGAGCAACACGAACCCCACCAAAAACAATGGGATGATCTCAGGTGCTCCGGAAGGGTAACCAGATCCTGCTCCACTTTTGGCATGTTGTGATGCTCATATGAGTACAAATTCGGTTGTAAGTCTAATTCTATGATGTCACATTGGAGGGAAAGAGGACATGAAGTCCTCGAATGAGGTTACGACAAAAATTGGGACATTTTGTCTCGGGGTGCATCCTCGGGGTGAAGATTTTAATATGATAACAATTAAACAGTATTCTGTTGACGTTTTACATCAGAAATATTATATAATATGAAGGGACTCTGCAGGATTTACAAGACAGTTTATCATACTCTTGGTATATATCATATGAAAGGTTACGAGACGGGAGTTCGAGAAAATGCACTTTAATGATATTCGATGTACCTTACATTAGTCTGGGATAACATGATTTATCTATATTTTGTTGTTATTGGTTTTGTATTAGCTTTCGGTGAGTGTGTGTTCTCTTAAATCGCGTAATCTGATGAGTCAATCCAGTTCCAACTGATTTTTATAGTTTGTTCTTATGTTGTGCTGTTACACCACTGTCGCAGGTTATGAGGGGGTTTGAGCGATCAGTGGTTGTCGTTGGTTCATATCTAAAAAACTTTCACAGTTTACAAAAATGTTAAATGTATAATACTATCTTTACGTTAAGGAACATGCATATGAGCAACAACTCTTTGAGGAGTCCGTAGGTGGACCGGTTCTTGGCAAAATTTCTGACCTACCGAATTGACTGTACTTACATGAGCAACACGACCGGACCGGTGCGTGCACAGAATCTGCTTACCCGTCTGGAGCACTTGAAATCAACCCCGGTTTTTGAGGGGGTTCATGTTGCTCAATCTTTGGTTTTCTATGTTGTGTTTTGTGGGCTGTTGTTTACCTTTTAGTAGTTTTCGTTTTTTTTTCCATGCCATTGTCAGACTTTTAACTATCGATTTCGTATCTTTCGCCCCTCTTCTGTCCTTATTTAACAAACTATTTATTTTTTTAATGTTTCGCCTTTATCATGGACCGTCATTGCACAACCACGAACATGCATGAAATATTTACCTTCCTTCCTGTCGTATTAATATAAGTTTTCGTCCTGAATATGATTCAAATATTTGCCACTGGGTGTCAGGCAAACAAAAATCAATTGATACATTAGTTGAGTTTAAACCAATCGTCTTAACCAACTTTATCAGGTACGCTCATGACTAGATTTGCAAGGAGACGAACAATAGAAAGAATGTTATTAGCATTGTAACTGTTACCCTAATGAATTGATACCAGTCGTTTTTCTTCAGCATGTGGAACATGCATATATATAATTTTATAAATTCACATTCACCATACCCCAAAACGTATAGTTATTACTAACTGAAATAATTATATTTTTAGGAATCTCCGTTTCCATACAACGCATCAAAAAGTGTTTCGCGGACTTTCATGTTGATGACAAAAGGCAATCGAGTAAGACCCGTGGGAACAAGCTTCAAAACGACAGATGAATTCGACTGAAATTCTATGGTTGTTGGACATCGGATTTGTGCAATATCAAAATTACTTATGTATATAAATCACATTTAAACAGGTAGTTGAGCAGTGGTTCGGCAAAATCATAACAAAAATGTGCGTCAGGTTTAAGAACCACCAAGAATAGACGGTACTTAGAATATTTGTATATGAACATATGAACGTGTGTCTCAAAAATGTTTTTGTGAAACCTGTTTGTATTTAAAAATACTTGTGGCTAGCTGTTGTTAACTTGTAAGCAAGGTGACCGAGTATTACCTTAGAAGATCGAAAATGTTTAATATTAAAATAAGATGTGGTATGATTGCAAATGAGAAAACTCTCCACCAGAGACCAAATGACATAGAAGTTTTATACAACTATAGGTCACCGTACGGCCTTCAAGTATATTTACAACTATGGGCCACCGCACGGCCTTTAAGTATATTTTCTTTTTTTAATACCGTTAATTAGGTACATGTTTTGGTAGGAACCCCTTTTGGAAAATCCTTGGGTCTGTTGATGCCACTAAATGTTAACTTATCAATAAAAAATCAAATTAGATGACTTCTACTTAATCTAAATATGATTGTATGTGCGGATTGGGACAAATACAAGGGTATTACACCAATTTTAGTTTGAAATATCATAAATTCTGGTGTAAACTTTACTAATTGTATAGACACTTGTCCATTTGAAGACGTTGACCTCTAGATGTTATTTTTCTTTCGATATTTTAACTTTGCTTTTTTCATAACAATAGGATTCAAAAATTGTTGGAAAGTCATGAACTCAAAACGGAACGAAACCCGGTTCATTTTCGGGATGACCATTTCCTGCTATGCATAAATTGTCTATCAACAAATTCAACACTATAATAAGATCTTTGAATATGGTTTTCATTGGTATTAATATTGATTTTGTTATCAGTAAATTAAAATCAAACTAGATATTATTTTTATATACTTGTGCACATTCATGGCTCTACAATCTGTCGATACCTGTATCTTTGCATTGCACACGGTCATGTTTTCCCTGACTGTTAATGACGTGTTTATCCTAGATCCGTTGAATGTGTACTGATTGATATGGTAGTCTTAGATGCATGATTTTTTTCAATAGTTGTTATTGGCTTTGAACTAGCTGTCAGTAACTGCGAGTACTCTCAGATAGGTACTTAGTGTCTTTTTGTTGTGGGGATGTACAAGTACCCTGCCACGTTCATTCTGTGATTTTGTTAGATTTATTTTTGCTTTGTATCCATCTAATGAGTTAAGCCTTTTCAACTGATATTCTATAGCTTGTTCTTATGTTGCACTGTTACACCACTGTCCCAGGTTAGGGGGAGGATTGGGCACCCCAAACATGTTTAACCCCACCACATTCTGTATGTGCCTGTCCAAAGTCAGGAGCCTGTAATTCAGTGGTTGTTGTTTGTTGCTGTATATCATATTTGTTATTCGTTCATTATTTTGTACATAAATCAGGCTGTTAGTTTTCTCGTTTGAATTGTTTTACATTTATCTTTTCGGGGCCTTTTATAGCTGACTATGTGGTATGGGTGTTACTCCTTGTTGAAGGCCGTACGGTGACCTATAGTTGTTAATTTCTGTGTCATTTGGTCTCTTGTGGAGAGTTGTCTCATTGGCAATCATACCACATCTTCCTATTTTTATATCAAACTATTTAAGATTCCAAATCATGTCTTACTTGTATGAGTGTGTGGATGGGGGTCCTTCATTTCTGTATTCTTGAATTTTTAGCCGTTTTTCTCTATTCTTTATATTTTTGGACTACTCATCTATATTCTTTATATTTTAGCACCCCATTATTCTCTATTCTTTTATTTTTTAGGCCATTTTGTTCTTTACTTTATTATTTTGGCCATTTATTCTGCACTTTTTGCCAATTATTCTCTATTCTGTAAAACCCATCCAGACCCTCTCGTATGTTCTCGATAAATAGTGCAACTATCTCCTAGCTTAAAATATAGTACTTAGTAACAAAATGAAGAAAACAACACATACGTATTTTATGGAATGTATTTGTCAAACTACAGGCAAGACATGTTGGTCCTGTTATCTGGAAATCTATCATAAAATGGCAAGTAATGGTCTCAACAAGTAATGACACTAATGTAAGATATATAGTATGGTTCTTTTGTGGTTTATAAAAAATATACCACGAGTCCAAGCGTGACCAACTGCCTGATGACTTATGACTATACATATAATGACAAATACATATACAATTTACATGACTTCAATATAATTTTATGATGAACTGGACAGCTGTCGCTTAAAAGTTGCAGACCTGCTACATAATGTAATACAATAAATCTTTTGTATAGAATAACAGAATAACAGTTGATAAGATTATTGTACACATAAGATTTGTGAAATGTTAAAGAAAAAATGATAAGATTTTTAAACAAATCTGTATATCAACAATAAAAACATCTAGATTAAATAAAATTTTCTTTATTTTTAAAACACGTTTTGCACACCTATTAAACCAATTATTATTAGTTTTAGCTTATCATTATGCTTCACTCTCACAATATTGTTCAAAGTAAGATGATAATCTAATATCATTTTAGGTGAACTTAGCGAGTAACTGCAGGAAACTTTTGAAACAATAAAACTTGGAACAATGTATTTTGAATTAAAATAACATTTTTTTATCTAGAATTTTGTACAGTACTAGCAACACAAAGAATGAAAGAAAATATCAAAACTAAAAGTTATTTTGAACTATAAAAAAATAATTCAAATCAAGTAATTTTTTGGTTTTGTTGTCTATGAACATATATGTCCACTGTACAAAAATTTTATATTAAAAGAAACAATAATAAACGTTTATAATTATATGACTACAAAGTATTTAAATATGACAGAAAAAGATAAAACCTGATATGTTAATTCACACAACACTTTTATCAAAACTCTAATAAATTATTAAAAGTAATTTAAAACCGAAATTCTTTGATACTGAGGGAATATTTCGAATAACTTCATGTTCGTTTCTAGATATTTTTTTATCTGACAAATTATCTTGCATTTATTTTTTCAAAAGAAAACATCAGAACTGTTAAATATAAAAATAAGAAGATGTGATATGATTGCCAATAAGACAACTTTTCCATCAGTTAGCTACTATAGGTTACCATCAAGCTCTCTTTCCAAAAATAATTTAGTAATATTCCTTGTAAACAATAAATTTTCAGTAAAGTGTATCATTGAAAAATTCCTAGATAAACAAAAAATGGGGGTAACTATATAATTATAAAAAGTGTTTCTTTCCTATCCCCTAAAAATGGTAAGGACTTAATAAAAACACCACTGATTTTCAACTTCTTATAGTCTTCACAAAATATTTTGTAAAAATCATTTACTAGAGAGAAAACTATGGCTAACAGTAATGTAATTATTGACCAAAAGTATAATATGAAAAATATGGTTGAAAAAAAATATGAGTTTACAAAAACAATATTTACCCTTCTGACATAATTATGCAAAATTAAATTTATATGCTTATTTGTTAAGTGTGCTATTATCTTGATTAATATGGTACCATGAAACTTACAGCAGAAAAATGAACAAAACATTGTTTTATCTAATCTTCCTTGGTAATCATTGAGATAATGTTAAAGGTTGTTTCCCTTAGTTGGGCCATAATTTTAATTGCCAATAAAGAGCAAGCGGAAAGAACCATCTTAATGTAATGTATGTAACCTGCAAGTTTTTCAATTTTTTCATAACATTTAATCTTTTGTTAAGTTACACACTTTTGACACCAATAGTTATTTTTCAATAAAAATTGGTAAAGATGCTTATATATCACGTTCAACTTAGCATGAGCATCAGCCATTTGTCCACATTAAGAGCCCGTCTACCATTGGCAAAGGAAAATAACTTGTAAAAATATTGTGTAATAGCAGAACCAAATCGGTAATTGGCAAATAGACTGTTACGTCATTATTTTTTTTTTGTTTCCTTTAATTTCATTATGTATAGCATGAAATTTCTATGTTTTTAATCAGGTTATCGAGTTTGGAGGTAATTACATGTCTTTAATATGAAGTCTTCCTTTAATAAATGATCAAGCACAATCATTAGCTTAGATGATATATTCATTAAATACATTGATTGTTTTCCCTTATATGATTAGTAAGTACAAAAGGTACTACTGAAATCACTCTGATTGTGTCTCCCCTTAAAATATTGTCAATAGTACTGTAAACACGTTTCATTGTCTCCCCTAAAATATTGTCAAAGGTAACATGAATATATTTGATTGTCTCCCCTAAAAATGGTGTCAATAGTACTGTGAACATATTTGATTGTCTCCCCTAAATATATTGTCAATAGTACTGTGAACATATTTGATTGTCTCCTTAATATGAATCATCAAGAAGAAAAACATATCAAGGAAAATAGCACCATTATAATCAAAACAAAATTTACACATTTCGATACAAACAAATACACAGAAGTTGAATACAACTGCCAAACAAAAATAGAAAGAAGTTGGATACAACTTCCAAACACAAAATCTATTTACAGTATGCATACCCTGTTCTATAAATAAAAAAACTCCAAATATATATACCATACCAGTTAGTCAAATGTTTCATATGCAATGTATATAACCCTATCAAAATTTTATTTTCATAATTGTCAATTTTTCAAAATCAGAACTATTCATGACTATGCTTTTGGTGTAATTATATATCAGAGTATATTGTATATGCTCTGTCTAATGTTTTAAAGATTTAAAAAATTCTAAAATTGGTTTAACAGTCTTCAGGTTTTATAAATTCAGACTCTGAAAAGAATTCCAATAAAATTAGAGAAATGGGTCAGTTTCACAACTGATTCAAAAAGAAAGCGTCTCCACAAAAAAAGATTTATTATTTGTCTAAAAACCATTGATGGATATCTATTACTTATTATAATATAATAATCTCAGGGTAATTAAAGAAAAAAATTATAGAAAGGTTGAATGATTGTTGTTTGCTTAATGTCCAGCGGCAAATATATGATAGGTATTTTACATGAAATCATTATCACAAAATACACATTATTTATTAATAATCAATTAATCAGATATGCAATAAAAAAAATCTATTAAAAAAAATCAGTTTATATTTCATCATTTATTTATAAAGTAATCAAGTTTATAATTATATCTTTGTAATTATTCATAAATTCTAAATGGACCATATTTCAACTGTATAACAATGCACTCATTACCATTTAATCTGCTTATTCTTTATACAAAAGTGAAAATGAATGATCAATACTTCTATTTAAATGAGGTAGGCCTTAACTTGGAATTCTCGTTTACATAAATTTTGAAGTATTACACGGATTACTGCCCTTTCCTCATTTACCCACGATATCTTGAGCAAAGATACAACACATCTCGACTCTTACTTATTTACATGAAATATATTATGCTTTTCATTTCTTGAGGTTGTTTGAATAGTAATAGCATAAGAAAACAAAATAACAGTTTCATATATGGATGATGGTAAAAATTGTCATGAAAATAGAAGAAAAAAGAAGTTCAACAACTTGAAAAAATATCATGTTTGTAAAAGAAATGTAATAGCAAAATATATGAACTCAAGATTCTCTCTTCTTTGTTTTAAAATTTACAGATGAGTAGAAAATAATACAATAATTTCTCAATGCTTATGCTTTTGATTTCATATTAAAATTTGATATGTACTTTAAAACTATTTTTAAAACTGAGTATATTTATAAAATTACTCTGGTCCATTTAAGAAGCAGACTTCCTCAAATTATCACGAGCTAATTCTGTGACACCATCGTGGCTGCTCTTAGTGGTGTAATATCTGAAGGTGGTGTGCCATTTGGAGTGGTCCTGAGTTCACTTTCTGCTTCTAGTTCTGGAACTGATACGGGAACAGCCTTTGGCGGTGATGGCTCAAATATTGGCTCTTGTTTCAGGACAAGATCAGAATGAAATGTCATGGAACGCTCTAGTTCAGTCATGTGACCAGAAGTGACGTGTTGAAAGGATGGAAGCATGCCAGGTGGAGGGCTACCAACCTGTAGAAGAGCGGGAGGTGGTGCACTAAGAGCAGCCAAGACAGAACTGTGACTCTGATATAGCTGAGGATATGTTGTGATATGCTTCATGTCAGTCACTGAAATAGAAAGAAACATACATTTTGAATGAGTAAACTCAAAATGTCAATGGAACTCACGGTTCGAAAATTCCAGACAAGTTCTATCCATCCTTTAATAATTTGACATTTCTATTATGGGATTTATGATGGTCTAGGTGGGGTTTACAGAATAGAGAATAATGGGCGAACAAACATTTAGAATGGAGAAAATGCACCCAACAAATGAAGAATAGAGCAAAATTGGGTGCTAAATATAAAGGAGAAAAGAGAATAATGATCCAAACAAATTTAGGTTAGGGAAAATGGCAGAAAAAATAAAAAAACCAAGAACCTCCATCCAGACCCCAATTTATTACTGCTTGTAAAATTTCTTGAAAAGTATAAAAACTGTCTTAAATTTCATCTAACTGGAGACTAACTTCACTAAGTGTTATCTTAGTTGTAAATAAATAGTAAATTAATACATCATGGAAAACTTTTTTTTAAAAAGTACGACTTTTTTTTTACCTCGGCATTGGCCCAAATAATTATGATGTCTTGGAAGACTTTTTTTATTTTGCTTTTACGCCTTCCTACAGAATCTATAAAACCCAAAATCGAAAAAAATATCCCCAACAATCGTCATGACTCATCAGAATCTCAGTAAACATAATAAACATCCAACTTAACAAACAGCAACAAGAGAACGAATCAATTGTATTGCTTGGTGCGTTCTAGTATAGTAAAGTTCTGAAATAAACATTGTATAGGTGATTGATTGATTGATTGATTGATTGGTGGAGGAAGCCGGAGTGCCCAGAGAGAACCACAAACCTTCGGTAGGAAAACTGACAATCCTAGCCAATTAAGATTGCAGTCGACTGCACCTGCCCCGTGTGGGATTCGAACTCACAACATCAGTGTTGACTGGCTAGTGATACAGTAGTGTGATAACTTTTTTTCTCTTAACTACCAAACCACTCGGCAAACGAGACCCCTTGTATAGGTGAGTCACCTAACAATAATTACCTAATTGATTGTCTGATCTGGTAACGGAAAGATCTAGTAATCCTGATGACTGGTTCCCGGTATATGGCATGGATGTTGTGTATGATGAAGGCATGATGTTATGATCTGGTGTATTATTCATTTCACGTGTTGGAGTAGCTGCTTTTGATGCCATTTTAGCTTTACGTTTTCTTGTTTGGATTCCATCTTTTTTCATTGACATTGGTCGGGCTACCTGAAAAGTGAAACAAATATGATGGTAATACGTGCTATCCGCCACTTTAGTCAAAATAAACTTACAGGTGGATACTAAGGATGAACTTGCAAACAATCAATTTTTATCTTATTTTTTGTAATATATCAAAATCGTTCTTTTTATCTAAATGATAATCTCATGACGCTGATCAGTCATAAAGAATTTCAACAAAATCAACGCAATATTCCTGAAGAATTGAATATCTAGCATGCTTTCTGTTTTATTGGTGAAAGGTGAAGGAACATGTAAACTATGCAATCATTGCTCGTATGTATACCTGGTGTAATTTATAGTAGAGTCCGCATGCGTTACAAACTGGTTCCCCTTCACTGTTCCGTCTCCATAAAGTCGTTGTGGTGGTTCCACAGTTAGCACATGACAAACCCATCCGACTTCTGTTATTCACCTGAAAAATATTTTTAAATATAGTTTTTCCTCAGAATGTGTACCATAATTCAGCTAAGTCGTCTCTTTAATTACGAAATAAAGAGAAAAAGTTCGACTCTTGCGTTCAAAAAGTATTTTGGAATAACCTTCAGCAGGAACCCTGAGGGTACAGGAAATTTTGGATTTGTTCACTGCCAAACAGCCAAAGCGACCAAGGTTAGCTATGTTTGTGTTGCGTTAATCGATAAACTTTTTATATCTAAATAATTCTGCGAAGTCGATCATGTGTTCTGGAAGAACATTCCTACATTTTTCAACCGAAAGTTGGACTCATTCTTAGTGGACAAAGAGCATTGTTTTTCTTATAAACACCCTTCATAATTCAGTATGTCCGGTAAAATATTACAACTTTACTAATTGTCGTGGAAAATCAACAAAAATGTGTATTCCATATGGGTATACATAACCAATGTCACAACAAGGATAATTCAAAATATATAGAACCGCCTTGGTGGTAGCGTGTCCGCCTCGATTGAGGGAGGTCATGGGTTCGAACTCGACCGGTTTAAACCTAAAACTTTAAAATTAGTATTTTCTGATTATCTGCTAAGCACGCGGCATTAAGGAGTATACATGTTAGCTCGGAAACAGAATAGTGTGTCCGGGTAAGGTAACATGAATTCCTGCGGACTGTTACCTCGAGGACTAGCACTTTAAAAATCTAGCTCAGCGTGCCATTTGCTGCTGGACGTTAAACAGCCATCCATCACCATCATCAACATATATGGACAATTTAATATTTGTAACAGAAAGTAGGATGTTGAGTATTAATTCACGACACAAACATTACAAGCAATATATTTGTTCATATATTCATTGGAAAAGTTTTACTGATTCTCAATGCATTAAACGCTGCCATGCGCTTTTCTTAAAAGAGATAAAATAAGTCAGATCTAAATTACGGAACACTAAAAAAGTGCAAAGATTTGGTAAAGCATGATAACTTTGAATACACTTTGTTGTTTGATATTTGAGTTCATAGTTCTATTTTCTTTACATGTATATATTGATCACGTGTTTATTTTAGGACTGCTTCCAAACATCTTTTGTTTTATCTAATAAAATCATCGATCCCCTCTGGTTACATGTATCATTCAGGGACGTGACGTATTCAATTATAATTTTCACAATAATATTGACAGCCTTTGTTTTAGTCGTGCTTATTCATTCCGTTGTCATGGTAACTAATGTCATGTATTAAAAGCACCAATAATCCCCTCGCCTTCTTATTTAACTTGAACAAACAAACGTGGAGAGTTTGAACAGCGTGCCTAATGCAGTGGATATAAATATGGCATCTACAAAAATATGGTATGCCTTATCTGGTCGGACTGGAGAACTCAATTTGAGTTGATTGGAATGGTATTTGAATCGAAGATTGATGCATTATTGTTAACCTCAGTTTTCAATTGGATGCAGAATAAGAAAATCCTAAATTGTACGAAAGCTTAAATCTTGGATATTGAGTGTTGATGGAGATAAACCTTTATGATCTTGAGATAAAAGAATAACTCCCTCTGGTTTAAACTTGTTTGATTGTTTTGATTCTTGAAAACAGAGAAACATATGCTCGAGACTTGTCAATATTTTCCTAAAAACCAAAGATTTATATCAAATAAATACAAAGAATAACACGAAATGCAAGATATTGTTTTTCAGTAGATGAAACTTAACTACTCTAAAAAAATAATGTTTCGCAACGTTCAGCAATTGAAATTAGCAGGGCATGTTTAATCATCCCTAAAATTTGGCATCTGCTATTAAAACCTTGTAATTGATATTTCATCCGAATAATAACATTGCCCAGGTTTGCCTTGGTACTTAGTGCCGTAGCGGGTAGCTTTAAATACAAGCCGCCTTACAAAATGCAATTTCACGGGAGCCGAGCAACTGCAGTAAAACCATTATAATATAAGGTATATCCATGTCTGAGCCAAATAAATTACTAATCTTATAAAAAGTAGGAAAGTAAACAAATTTTCATGTTTTAAATGTTATTTCTATATAACTCAGCTCCTCCTGGTATAAATAAGAGACAAGAGGGAAAATATCAAGTTATCGTCTGAAATCCAAACAGAACGAGACTAGGTACATCAACAGCTTTAGAGGAATGATCCTGGTATATATAAAAATAAGAAGATCTGCATGTTTCACCCACGAGTCCGGTAAAAAAAATTTAATGATATTTATAGTACACAATCTGTAAATTTACAAATAAAAACTTTTTCGGCATCTGAATATTTCGGGCCACGAAATATGTCTCTCGTGAGATGAGACATATAGGTACATCAGCTTTGAATGTGTATTTCAAACAAGAGAAAGACATATAGGTACATCAGATATGAATGTGTATTTCAAGCAAGAGAAAGACATTATACAAAATTGATAGTAACAAGCACAGTGATGCGGTATTTTATTTTATTAAAACTATCTATTGAAGATCACTGACTCCAGACTGCAATTTACAGTATTCCGAAACATAATCTCGAAAAAATTCTGAACAGCGTGTTGACGTTCAATGGAAAATTAATATTAATAAATTTTACATTTAGCTTTAACACAATCACAGAATATCCTGTTGAATTATAATCTGCACAATTCTTCTTAATGCATTTAATTTGCGAGGAATAAAACTTAAATTAGAAACTTCATTTTTTTGAGTTCATATGGATTTAATAAAATATACAAAGCATGTCTTTAGACATTAAAACTCGTCGCATCCCGCATTCCCCAAATAGATTCTTGGTTTTAACGCTGATCCGAATTTAATGATGTTCGCTCCTCTTGTTTTTGATTTTTTGCCAGATATTTGGAATCCTCTGATTTTATCCATGTACTGCCATTAAAAAAATTGCCCGCTAATCCCTACTTTTCTTTTCATTATTTTATCACATATAGTTTCAAAAGCCATATTTGAAAATCTTATAAAATCCTTGCTATTTTTTCAAAAGGTGCCAATGTTAAATGTATGAAAAATCTAGAGAGAATTATTTCCCGCCAAATTTTATATTGCTTATATCTCAAAAATAAGGACACTGACTTATCATTTTTCTGAATTTTTAAGTTCAGTTATTTATATACTAAAAATTTAAAACAGTCTTTTAAAAGGCTTTTTATTTTGAAACAGAGTAGCAAACATCCTTAAAATCAATAACTGTCATACTGATTCGTCATACTGATTCGACTTATGCAATGAGTTACGATATACCGTCACAAAAGATTTAGAAAAAAAAACATTTTAATGCGAGCTGTAGCGAGCATGCTGAATTCTTAAATGTAAGTATGCATGTATGGAGAGTACATGAACAAATTTAACGTAAGGAATTATATATATTTTTACAATCGTTCTTGTATAAAAGTAGCTGCTTTAATTATCAAAGTTAAAGTCCATCTTTGTTTGCATTTTGCAAATTGTAACTGTATTGGTAACTTTTCAAATATCGGATTAAGCACCAAATAAAATTCTGCTCTGCTCAGATGGTTTATTCAGACAACCGCTTATTTTGGTTCTTCCTGCTGAATCCCTGGAGAGTTGAACTTTATTTAGAATTGTGAGAGCAGAGTAAAAGGACGGAGTAACGATTACACAGAAGTGACTGTAACGTCGTTACGTGAGAGATCTTAGCTTCCTATTGCTATGTGACATATACGAGTATGTCTGATTATTATTGGTAGTCATATGGAAGACTGTAGCCTCTGATCGAACGAGATCTGATTTAAATAAAGTAGAATATTTAAAATTTACATATATATAGTACAATCGGCGGTTCTTAAATTATACATTAATTATACTAACAAACATATATGTTTACACCAAGATGTCGATAAACAAAAATTGATACCCTGCATTTATCATGCTTATCAATAACATATGATCAAATCGCTGAAAGAGCCCCCTCATAAATTATTGAAAACTATCATTCTGCATTGACTATGATATCTTGGTGTAAATTAGATACACCCATTACGACTAACGCCCTCAAGGTGTATCTAGTACCGGAGACACATATACGCGTATAAACTGCTAGTACATATGTTTTATGAAAATCTTAAAATTTGCATTGCCACAAAACTTCTGTTTTTTATTTAAAAAACGTTCATTTTGACCTCATTAAATATATGGAATGTTTTCGTAATTGAAGTTTTCCCTGACGAATCACAGAAGGCCTGGTCATTAAGTTTAAATTACCAATTAGGCGGATCAGTCATTAATTTGAAAGTCATTAGCATGATGGCGGCTCCGACTTCTGTGTGATGTTATCTTTATCCTAGAGCTACACATTTCGCATTACAATCTTGCAAAAAGTAAGCAATTTTGTGACACTTTTATACTACATTTTATCATCATTAAAATCTGAGACTATTATACTATGGAAGATTATATTGACTTTCATTTTACTTCAATGATTATACAAAGTTATACTTTTTTTGAATAATAGTCCCAGATAAAATGTGTGAAAAATTCAGTTAAATGGACTATGTGTAAGGAAAACGAATTTTAAAAGCATCGTTGGTGGGATTTAATAATTGCAAATATTAAAAGGACTATGTACTATTATATATATTTGTTTAGGGGCCAGCTGAAGGACGCCTCCGGGTGCGGGAATTTCTCGCTGCATTGAAGACCTGTTGGTGACCTTCTGCTGTTGTCTGTTATATGGTCGGGTTGTTGTCTCTTTGACACATTCCCCATTTCCATTCTCAATTTTATGTGCACACTTAAAAGCCTTGACATAATTTACCACAATCTCGTATACTGTTGTGCACTATCTTATATGAAACCACAATGTTTTTGTTTCATTTTTGATTGGCATCATTATTCATTCATAAAACTTTACTCATGGTAGTCGGCAGTGAAAAATGTGCTCGAAAGTCGAGACACCAAATCCAGTATTTTGATTGAATGATTTCTGAATCTGGGTACAGTAATCGTACTGAAAAGTTTTATGACCGCAAGGC